CCATAAGGAGGTCTGTGTCAAGAACGGAGCTCTCTGGCTGAACCCCAAGTCAACAGCCAGCACCGACTGGTCAGCCATGCAGTGAGCCATGTTGGAAGGGAGTTCTCCTGTCCCACCTGATAACCCAAGCTGACACTTGAATAGCAAAGACAAGAATTCTTGCCAAGTCCTGCCCACATGGTACATTTGTGAACAAAATAAATAACTTCGATTTTGCCACCAAGTTCTGGGGTATTTGCATACCCAGCAATAGACCCTGGAGCACACCCTAATCACAAACTGATTTTCTCAACTTAAAAGCCTGAACATACCAACCAGTCTCACATTTATATTGATCAAATCTACTATTTGTATGGTTCGAAAAGGTCATGGAGGTCAGAAACAGATGAACAAACACACATAGCCAGGCACCTGAAAACTCTTCACTGCTTCTTTATTAGGATGCACCCACAGTACAGAACCTCTCACACATCTGTGAAAGGGGAAGGTTACATTTTCCTTTGGGAGCACCTTCATTTTTGTTTCTGTTACCACTTTGAAGAAAGTAAATCATTTCCAAAGAAAGACATTTTAAACTCCAAGTGTTTTAAGATTCAGCTTGCATTTTGTTGTGTTTGAAAAGGAAGTAGCGTATTTTAGCCAGTGCCAGAAGATTGTTTTGTGGCCTTTTAACTTTCATGTGGATCAGAAGTCTTCACTGTCTGGTTGAACCAGTCTATAATTTTCATATGGAAATTTTCATATCAAAATTGCTTCATTTTTTACCTCTACCCACAAACAGATGCTGTTTAAAAAAACACACACACACAACTAAATTTAAAACCAGTCATGAATCACAGCATTTCTAACAGGGAAAATGAACTTTTGCTGCCCTCTCCTGCTAAAACAATGAAATACTAAAATACCAAAAGATGCATGAAGCTAAAGCGAAATCCTCAAACCAAAAGCAATGGACATGTCATTCTCATTATACCTCAATCAAAAATCAGACAACAACCAGAAAATGTATTGGTAATATTTATATTTGAAAGTTCCCCATTGATACATGAGGTCTGGATTACAACTTATATACAATAAGTGATTTCCAAAAAAGTAAAGAAAAGAGAAGGGAAAGAAGGAAAGACGGGGGAGGGGAGGAAAGGAGTGGGGTAGAAAAGGAAACCTATATTCATAGACGTCATAATCTGGGATGTTTATTTCCAAGAGAGATGCTACTGCTGCAGTCGTGCACAAGAAGCAGCACAAATTAACATTCCACTCGATTAAAACCTGCTCAGCTTTCTCTCAAGATGCACCATCCTTTTAGAGTTTCAAAATTAAATACTGAGAAATATAAAATGCGTTGCCAATATAGCTACTACAAAAATTCTTTGTGGCTCATTCCTTAACTCCACTCAGAGAAGCAGCTGAGCCAGAATATAAAAATAAAAATATCGATGTGCAAATAAAATATCACTGATCATGTCTGGTGCCACCTTTTTTGTTCTAGGTGACTGTCACTTTGTCATAACATTGGTAATAGCATCAAAAGAGAGACTCTCTTTATTATTTCTTGGGCCAGGTCAGTGCATCCAATTGAAGGGAAAAAAACAAAACAGAAGGAAAAAAAAAACAAAAACACCTCCGAGCACTTAAAAATGCCAATAACATCCATACATCTTCCCTTTCCCACCCACCCCCCCGGCCCCCACAGAAAAATAAAAAAGCTTTTAAAGCTCTAAATATACTTTTTTTTTTTCTTTCCATAGTGTGATGGAGCCTAGGGCTATACATTTAAGTATAGCAGGTGCAATTATAAGCAATTCCTGGCTCTGCACCCTGGACTGTCCCACGGATAGAAGGAGGTACAAAATAAATTAAACCCTTCCATTTAGGCAATTGAGCCCAAGATGAAGGAGTATAACCCTGCTTGTGAGTATCCAGAGGCATTGAGGGTATTACTTATATCTCACTTTTTTTGTTTTTTATTTTATTTTATAAAAAACAGATGTTAGGGAGAGCAAAATATAATAAAATTTCAAAGGACAAAAACTAAACACTGAGGGAAAACAACTGGGGACACTTGCACAATGAGAAAAGGAATGCATGCTTGATTCAAAGTATGAGATGGGTCAATTCACTCACATGGTTGTTCTAGGCCCACAGCCTAAGGCCTCAGCATCCTTCTAAACCACAGGGTTTTGTTTTTTTTTGCTTTTCTTCCAAAGACACTCTTAATCCTACCCCTGAAACCAATATGGTAGGGATAAGGTTGGAGTGATCATCACTCACTAACTACAATATTTGCTATTTAAAAAATATATTTATATATAGTTCTGGAAATTAGGAAGCAAACAAAATATAACACAAAGATGCATTTGTCACAATTAACTCAAGTTGCAGCAACAGCAGAAATGTGGGAAAGGACAGAGAGAGAGGGCTGCTGCGAATGCAGCAAGTGCGTCCTTAAATATGTCACATAGTGCAACAGTCAGGTTACCTCAGCCACTCTGCGTCACTGGATACAACATGACAAATGTCACATTGCCACTTTCGGTTAAAATAGAAAAGACAGTGTTTCTTCTCAGAAGTTGCCCTATGAATTTTAGACATATATCTATAATAGCTTCTTTAAATATGTCTAAAATTTGGCTTTATTCTTCTCAGTTTGGAATGCTCAACATACGAAATTGACATCAAGGATATCGGTACAGCTTTCACCTTAACTCTGAGGACAGGGTAAGGTGCAATAAAGAATCCTGGTCTTTCTCATTTCAAATGACTGCATTTCATTCAAACGGGCAGAGATATAGTTCATAAACCTGTGACCTTGATAGCAAACAAAAGTTCACATTGTCAAAATTAAATATAAAGCAAAGTCAAAACTCATGGGCTAAAATCAAAAGGGCTGAAGGAGATGGTTTGTTACAAATTTATTTTTATCTTTAGCATCTGAACTTGCACCTTTGCTCCAGCACTTAAGTTCTTTCATCTTTGGCAGCTTCTGCCAGCTTTACATTGAATCCCCTTTAAAGTTCTTTAAAAAAAAAAAAAATCTTATTAATTCCACTAAACCATGTTGTGTTTGATATTGCATATAACTCTTTTACTGCTGTTTCTTTTTCAGAATTAACAATGCCAAGTTTTGTTTTTGTTTTACAAAGTTACTGAGATGACAATGTCCATAGTTGGCTGACTTTTTATGCACAAACTGTGACCTGATAATCCTGAAACGCTTGATAGGGGAGAAAGGTCAGCGGCTTCTTTTTTTTTCCTTTTTTCTTATAAAGAATAAAACTGCATATTCTAGCTTATATTTTAAATGGAAGGAAGAAGATATACAAGCCCATATTGATACCATATTTCTATTAAGAGCAACAACAGTTCATATGTTCCTGTTTGCTACTATCACAATTCAATACATGAACGCAGAATCAGCTCCATATCACGAATACTGCTGGAAGGGATGGTTTAGGATTATCAACTCACGGCTGCCATGTCCATAACAAGCAAAAGCATCCTGGAAATAAATCCCAAAACACGTATCTTTCAGTACATGATAATGCAACTGCATTAGGTTAAGTACACAATGTACACAAGTTTTATCAGCATTTTAACTCCCCAAGATGTAAGATTCCTCTTTCAAATACAAAGCAGAGAGCCAGTAAGATATATCTATAATACAGCCCTAGATTTTGTGTGTTTTTTTTGTTTGTTTTTTTAAACAATTTGGTCACAATGCACCTTTGATATAAAAGCATTTTTAAACTTTATTATTAACACTCAGGACATTAGGAATTTCCAGATTTTTTTCAGTAGCATTTGTAGAACCACTTTTGGTAACAAATACAGTAGTTAGGAATACGCATCCAATTCAGAATGCATAATAACGGTTATCCTGAATCCTTTCTGGCTAAAAACAGGGCTGGCGCTGTGATGGGATATAGAACGAGAATCTACAAAAAACACTGTAATATGTTTGTTTGTTTGTTTTCCCCAGAGGCTACATCCTCTTTTTGCTGGAATACTTTATAAATACATATTAAAAAGTAAGGCAACAACTCCAAACAGTCCAAGCTGTTTGCTCAACTCTATTCCCAATTAGATTCACAATCCTGGCAATCAATTTCATGGTTGTACTGTTCAGTGTTTGTCTTTCTTATTTCAAAATGGTCCAAAAGGATGTCTCCTGACATTTCTAAAACATCTCTGGTATGTGTGTTCAATGATGTACATAACTAATACTGGTCAGGTACTGAACCCTATCTTGTCCCAGTGCCTGTTTTCAAAGGATTCAAGACATTGATCTGGATTCACCATAAACTCATGCATGAATCCAAAATTCCCTTCCCTACTATGTTTATCACCTGTTCTCTTTTACTCCTAATTTTAAAACTAAAGGAGTACCAGGACTACCTGGTTACTGGAAAGATGTTCATTCCAGTAAACGAAACTTTTACCACGGGACCTTTATAATTCATAGCCCCATTCCACATTCAACTCATGAAGATGTGCAAAAGGAAAAGATGTCAAATTACAGTCAAGTTATCCAGAGGAGGATGTTATACAAACTTATAAGGAAATGACAGTCTTTTTTCCTTTCTTTACTATAAATACATTTAATAGCTTAGCAGAAAGACAAGCTAAATTTAAGATTGTTCACATTTGAAAATTGTTTCATACTCTCTGCTAATGATAAATAAGGAACTCCCAATAATGGAATTTTAATATAGCAATTTCATCAACAGATCTCTGAAGACTCCTTTTTTTTTTTTTAAAGAGGGTTAGAACAATAATTATGTTTGCCAAGTTCTGAGAAGTCCATCTACTGTCCAAACTTTGGATTGAAGTCCTTATTTTTTTTTCCTTTACTTAGAGACAGGTATATACAGTGCTGTTGTAATAATGAAACAAATGTGAAATCTACTGTAAGGTTGCACAATACAGAAAACTGTGGCTCCATCTCCTACGACATAAACGTGTGATTCCACAGGTTAGCGATGGTGGTGGTGCTGTTTTCGTTAAGTTGGAATTATCCCATCACGTCTGAGACCTCTCTTTAACTCCAGATCCTCCAGTTTTTTCCACAATTCTTCACGTTCCTTTTCTTTCTTTTTCTCACTGGGGAAAAGAAAATATAATATAAGGTAAACAACTGAGAAAGTTTAAAAAGATTATCCAACAATAACTGCCCCTTTGACATACTTTAATCCAGTCTTTTTAAATATCTCTGAAAACTTGTAGGTGTTTCATCTTTTTGGTTTTCTGCTCTTTTTTTTTCCTTGACACATATATAGAAACAACATAGAGTAGGAAATGACAAGAATATTTTAAGATTTCATTTCACATTAATATTCCTTTACACTTAGCTTAATAAGGAAGATTAACTTCAAAATACCAAGAAAAAAAATGATCAACATTTATAAGTATCTGTTACCCTAAATCCAATGGCATATTAGTCATTTTTACTTTGGGTCTAGTTCAAATCTGATTTTCTTTTTATCTCTGAATAGTTTCTCAAAGGGGTTGCTAGAGATGACACTGATATAGAGAATGCAGTAGGTCAAGAAAACATACTTCCTCTTTATTATGGTCCATTTTTTTCTACATTATATGTATGTAAAGTCTTTAGTAGAATCTTGTTCTTAAAAATATCAAACAAAAGAAACCAAATTATGAATTTATTTTATACCTATATATAAAATTAAACATCCTTTCTTCTACAATTTGTTTTAATTCTCAATAGAACTTTGTTGATATTATCAGTTATTAAATTTTTAATGTTCCAAGCCTTTGAATTTGGCTCAATATCAATTTGTGACTTAACAGACTTCAGATTTCACTGTTTGGTTAAAATTTTCCCAAAAACTAGATGTTCAAAATAGGGTAAACAAATTTTATTTTGCCAAGGACATTTTTAGATTACCATACTTTTATAAAAGAAAAGATGTTAACTTTAATAACTATGAAGTAGTAAGTACAGAATCCAGGAATACATGGCTACACTATAAATTCATATTTATTAAAAATAACTCACTACCCTGTTCCAAATTTCTTCATGTTGTGACGAACCAGTAAACAGCAGACCTGATAATATTTGTGAATCCATAAATTCAGATAATTCCTAAAAATAGGGGCTCTACTTCACTTGGGAAGAATTTGACTTCACTTAGCAAGACTTTTGTACTTCACTGTAGTACAGTATATTTATTCAGGGAAGGAAATCCACATAAGTGAAATGTATATATAATTCCACTGCCTAGTATTTTTTAAGTCATTACCAGTTTTTTAAGTTGTACTGATTATCTACAGCAACAGAAATTAATCTTCATCTCCCCCGCCGAAATACCTCTAGAAATATCTAAAGACTTTTACATCCCCATTCCATCATTTTATAATTAGTATTTTGGCAATTTAAGCCTTGTTTACTGCAACTAGTTTTAACTGGCTCAAATACACTTGACACAACATGAATTTTAGTAGGCATAATAGTTTTTCAAACAATTACCTACTTGGTAACTTTGCCCTGAAAAATTTTATTTATAGGGCAATAATTCTCCAACCATTATGGATCCTAGATACCTAACTGCAAAGCAAAACTGGTCAATTATCACTTGGTTTCTCAGTACAATCTGGGGATAACATTAGGCCCATCTAAAGATTTATTTATTTATTATTGGCTGTGCTGGGTCTTCGTTGTTCTGCAAGCTTTTCTCTGGTCGTGGTGAGCGGGGGCTTCTCTTTGTTGTGGAACAGGCTTCTCAATGCAGGGGCTTCTCTTGTTGCAGAGCACAGGCTCCAGGCACTTCGGCTTCAGCAGTTTCAGCGTGTGGGCTCAGTCACTGTGATTCGGGCTCTAGAGGGCTGGGTTCAGTAGTTATGGCACACGGGCTTAGCTGCTCTGCGGGATGTGGGCTCTTCCTGGACCAGGGATCAAACAGGTTTCCCTGGCACTGCAAGGCAGATTCTTAAACAATGGACTCCCAGGGAAGCCCAACATTAGGTCTAAATAAATGTTATGATAGAATACGGATTTGAAAGTAAATTCTGCTGATCCTGCTGAGTTTCAATGCATATTGAGCTTCTTACTTGGAAGAGGAGGAAGATAGTAAGCAAGGGCTTTAGAGACTTTATTCAACTAAAAAACAACTTCAACATATGTTAGGTTCTTATTGCCCTAATTTGCAGTTTAAATGAAGAGCTGACATGATTAAACACTCATAATCTTGTTACTGAGGCATTTCACCAATCTTTGATCAAGAGTTGTATAGCAATCAATGCAGCCTACCCTATGGGGCTTTTCTTCTAGGTAAACTTTTTGCTGAGTTATCATACATCTTTTATACTGACAGCTTTATCTTCAAAAACCCTAAGTATTTCTGATATAGCTTCTGTCACCCCTATTCTTTCTCACTTTTCTCTCTCTCTGTAGGTGGCAGTTTAAAACTTCACTTCACTTAGCTGTCATACTAGGGATAATGTGAAACTCCCTGTTACAATTTCACAGAGCACTAATGTTGACATATGTATCCATCAGTATTAGTTACTTATTCCACCCACCATTTTCAGGTTAGTAATACTAAAAAAATGTTGATCTGAACTGCAACAGTTACTAACTTCTTGCCTTCTAGAAATAAATCCTCTTTTCATTTCTTGTCCGGATTCTGTGTGACCCATGCACTGTAGCCCACCAGGCTCCTCTGTCCATGGGGATTCTCCAGCTAGGAATACTGGAGCGGGTTGCCATGCACTCCGCCAGGGGAATCTTCCCAACCCAGGGATGGAACCCAGGTCTCCTGCACTACAGGTGGATTCTTTACCATCTGAGCCTCCAGGGAAGCTCTTGTCGGACAATACAAATCTCTTTAGTCTCTTTTTCTCTTCCTATATCCACAAAAAAACCAGTATTTCCATCTACTAAGTATACCCTTGTATAGCTCATTAGACAAAATACTACAGTTCTTAAATAATACTTCTGTCATTAAGAAAGTCCACTCACTATAAATCACTTTAAAACACCAGACTGTCATAGTCAGCTTCATAGTGTCTATTTGCTGTTAATTATCTTTTTCAAGAGTCTGGCCTATTTAGTTTAAATGATAAATGATCATAAAACAATTTTGAAATTCAATAAAAATGAACAAAATTAATTCAAATGATTTGAATATTTTAGAAATAGGTCTTCAGTAGTCTTAATGGATTTCTACAGATTTAATCCTTATTCAACTAGGAAAATAAAAATGGGTTTTTAGTTACTATAAAAAGAAGGATATTATGTACAATGCACTCCTTAATGGTATATCACAGTATGAAAATTTGCCCTGTATTTCCTTCACTTAAATAACATTTTTTTAAAGATTTTAAGTTTGAAACATGGAGGGTTATTATAAATCTAATGATTTGCAACAACTACAAATATAGTAAATTAAAAATTCTCTTTAAGTCTGGTACAACATATCCAATAACTGATTTTTACCTCAACGTGGTATTAAAAAAACTCAAATCTCTTCTCTCTACTATTAAACACTTTTCGTATGCCATGAAGTTGCTCTTGTATACCACATCCTGGTCATTTTTTAAAAAATCACTATGACGATCCTCTGTCCCCTGCCACCAAACCTTTCCCTTCATTGCTCCTTTTATCTAAAATCCAAGTAACATATTAAAAATCAGGAAAAGGTGCAAGGGAACCACAGGCAGCTTTTCTCAGGAGTTTTAGCCAGGTCCTGAGTATGAACACTGGGAGCCTTGAAGGTCTGTGGTTTTATAATATACACAAAGCTGACATTTTCTTCTGGATGAGAAAAGGCAACCCAGCAGTTCAACTACTAGCGAGCTCTCTAGACTTTCCTCAACCTCTCCAAGTACATAAAGTCGGGGTCTGAATATTTATGTGCCCCCAAAATTCACATGTTGACATCCTAAACCCAGAGGTCATGGTATTAGTAGGTGGGGCCTTTGGGGTTGATTAGGTCATGAGGGTGGAGCCCTCATGAATGGGATTAGTGCTCTTATAAAAGAGACCCCACAGAGATTCCTTGCCCCTTCCACCTTGTGAAGACACAGTGAGAGATACCAGCTCTGAACCAGAAAGAGGGCCCTCATCCAACCATAGTGGCACCATGCTCTTGGGTTTCTGGACTCCAGAAGATTTTAGTTGTTTGGAAGCTACCCACAAGATACCTATAATGTGGTATAGCAGCCCACACAGACTAAGACACATCTTTTGGAAAGTTGAATACACTGAACAAGAAATAACAAAATTGAAGAATCATGTAAATGAAATCAAGAAAGACCCATGAAACCAGAAGCATTTATTATAATGAGTTCAACTGGTTTCTACTCCCTTTTGACCTTAAACATATCAAGATTTGCATAATACTCTTTACCTCCTTGTTTTTTTCACTGCCCTCTAAATCACAGGAATGTGCTGGGTTCTAGTATAGAAAGTTAAGTTCTGGGTCAAAGAGCTAAACAAAAAACATGCCCTATCTCTCTTGCTGCTGGAGTGAAGGACAAATCAGCCCAATTCTAGTTCAGAATGGGAGTAATCCAGATGGCTAATGACCTGATGGGTCCCCTTATGTGATCCTGAAACACCAGTTATGTGCCAGGCTTCTAACCTGGATGCGGAAGGGAAGGGAAGGAGGAAAGCAGCCTTAACCAAAATGACACTTTGTTACCCAGTGGCACACTAATAAAGACACAGCTAATGCACACGCAAAAATGAATATGGAAATAAAATCGTGCTGCTTAGGATTTCAGGTACAACTAGGCAAATTCAGCAAAGTGCAAGGAAAGAACTCAATAGCTTTATGTGCAGCTGACAAAAAAGCTTTAAAAAGTTACCGCTGACGATCTGACTTGTATGTGGCTGTCAGCTCATCAAACATGGTGCTGTTCATTTCCATAAACGCCTTTAACACATTGTACACTAACGCCACAATAGCCCTGGAAGCAGAGAGAAAGGAACATGTTGGTTAGTCCTACATAAAGGGTTACTGCCTGAAGAAAATGGATGTACAATCTTTACCTGAATGAGCTCCTCACACTGCATAGTCTCCATCCCTTTTTTAGTCACAACAACTAGAAATGACCTACAATTAATTTCCACATGAAGAGAGCTACATTCTTTAGACAAGAGAATCTTTCTGAGGGATTGGCAGGATTAGAAAAAGAAAATCTAATTTTGCCCTTCAAATCATTCGTACCCAGAATAGACTTGCCTATGGGCACTTGTTAATTTCAATTAATACAAAGGCAAGTATAAAAATAAAGCAACTTCACCCTAAAAATGAACACTTGTGGCAGGACCAACCTTTAAGACCTGAATTTGCATAGAATTTTATTTTTAAAGTGATAATATACATAATTCATCAAAATCAAAGGCTGTTCCCATGGTAACAAATTTTATATATCTATAATTCATATTCAAAGATGATACCAGGCCCCTGTAAGTTGGGCAGCTTAATATGAGTTACATTTCTAGTGGTGATTTGCATCAGTCCTCTTGCTGACTCAACGCACAGGCTGAAGGTAATTGGCTAGCTGGTGATAGCTGCTATCAGCGATAGAACACTAATCAGCTCAAGAGCCAAATGGCTGTCCATGCTTATCAAGTCTAAGAATAAGCTCTTGGCAGTGTGAGGACTCTGCCATGATGAGCTTAGTATCTTCAGACTAGAATCTAAATAACACTTCCCTGTGCAAAACTATACAACATTTCTCCATTTTGCATGTTTTCCAACACCACTGAAAAAGGCATTCCTTGGGTGTGAAGTTTCTAAAACTAAAGTGTGCTGCTTCTGCCCTGTGTTCATTAAAAGAGAAACTTCAGCTGTCTTTTGTTGAAAAGAAAGACCTTCTGAGATATGACAGTGATGGGGCTGTGACGGAGAAAAGGCAAATACAGTCTGCTGAGAGGTTAAGAACACATGCTAGAACCACTCTCTAGGTTCTCAAGAGGCTATCTACACAATGAGAGTTAACGGTTTGCCAACTCTTATATTTTTATAAGCTTTAGTCACAAATTTGACAAATGTGAAAAGTGAAAAATTTGATATTTTATAGTTGTATGCAAAACTTGTAGACAAACTATGGAAATACCAAATTATATTTGATTTTTAATGCCACAGTCAATTTTCTTTCTATGTCATAGAGAAATATGTAAAGTCATTCAAACACAGAATGCTTTAACTTTCATGAGACTAGATGATAAAAAACATTCAAAAATGTTTTTTCCCTCTACAGAACATGTATAATGACTGAGTGGGTTTTTAAAAAATGGATCTTGCTAAAATGTAAATCAATTCAGACCACTTCCCTTCCTTCAACTCTCTAGTGTTTCCTTATTATTTACTTGGTGAAGCCTCACGTAGGCACTCCTCTACTTTCTGACCCAATCTTCCAGCAAACTTCTCAAATGACCATGTGCTTCAGCTCCCCACATTCACAGGTCTCAGAACATGACAGGTGCTTATTACCTTTTGTGCCTTTTTAGGTGACGGGTAAACCCACTATCTGAATGGGCTACCCCCACCCCATCCACTTGCCCAATTCTTTTAAGATTCAGCATGAGCATCATCACCCCCATCAATATACAAATTTCTCCACTTGATCGAGAGCATCCCCAAAAGATCTTAGCAATATTCAAAGACAGGTTAAGATGCCCTCAAGTAAACAGGTATGTGAACATAACAACACTCAAAATACTGTTTTATAAAAAAATCTGTTTACTTGTGGGTCTCCCCAACCAGTCAGTGAATTCCTAAAATGTAGACATTTTACCTTTTCACACGCATATCTTCAGCATCCACACATCTGACACACAGCATGCATACAAGACATTTTATCAAGCAAGAGAGAAGGAAGGAGGAAGAGAGGCCAAAGGAGAGGAGAGGGCAAGATGAAGGCGAGAGGGAGGTATGGAGAGAGTGGGGAGGGAGGAAGGAAGAGAAGGAGGGGAAGCTGAAAACTTACGGATTCCAATGTTCTTTTGAAATCCTATAAAGACTGGAAAACATGATGGGAAGGATGACATTAGAGTTTTCTTCTATCAAACTCATGATGTATTCATTATTCCAATAATAGAGTGCCCTTTCTGCCACCTTTGAGAAAAGAAAAAGAAAATGTTAACAGAGAGAAAAAGACAAAACAAAATTATAACCTCTTCAAAAAAAGTATTTTAAGACTATTTTAGTATCATTCAAACAAGTATAAAACTAAGTATTAATCACACTTTACATTTTTGTGGGTTTAAAATCTTTCACAAAGTTCCAAACTGGTTAATCAATTTGGGGAAGAAAAAGAAGATCTGCTACCTGCTTATTTTTATTCTCCTTTTAACACATTTATTCTCCTGATTCCACATTTTCCCTACACAGCTCACAAGCATCAGACACCTTCACCCTGCTTCTAAATGCCATGCTGTTTCCCCATCACTTTAATTCCCTTCCTGGCTCACCTCTTTCATCCCACACAGTTCAGATCAACCACAGGGCCCAGCACATAGCTGGCCTTCAGTCAATAGCTGCTGTAGAAAATGCAGCTGCCCACCTCTGCAGAGCAGGCGCATTTGCTAAACACCTTTTTGGCCAGAGACTGTGCCCAGCCTGCAGGCAGAATGTGTTATCCTTACCACCACCCGAGGAGTGGGCACTACTCTTCACACGAGGGCACCGAGGTTCAGAGGGATGGGGAGCCTGGCTAGAGTCACGCTGCTTGTCAGTGATAAACGGAGACGTGAGGCCAGCGCCCAGGCTCCTTCCAGAGTTCACTTCTGGCCCCCTCCTTTGAACTGGGTAAGCCAGGAGGCAGTCACTCAGTTTTGGACGTAGGGATACTGGCTGTATGTACACACACTTGCTATCTCAGATCTCTTTTTTCTGACTGCCACATTTACCAACTGACTCTCTGAACTCAAAGGAATGCTTCAAAGAAAACCTAAAAACTCTAAAAAGCAATCTAAGATAACAATAATAATTCAAGTAAACCAAAGTCTCAAAAAAAAAAAAAACAATAAAAACTCTAAGAGTAGTTATATGGGGAAAGGAAAAGAGTTGCTTCTTTCATTTACACAGATTAAGAAATTATGCTTCATTTAAATACATTTAATAAATCTGTCCCCACCCCCTACACAAAACTCATTTGCTGAAGCCCTAACTTCTAGTGTGAGTGCATCTGGAGATAGAAGGTAACTAAGGTTAAAAGAGGTCATATGGGTGAGGCCCTAATCAGATAGGCTTGGAGACCTTCTATGAAGAGGAAGCGTGAGATTTTATTTTTTCCTCAAGCATGCAGCAAGGAAAGACCATGCGAAGACACAGTGAGGAGACATACAAGCCAGAAAGAGCCCTCCCGGCAGCAGACCATGCCAGCACTCTGAGCTCAGACTTCCAGCCTACAGAACTAGGAGGAGTCAATTCCTACCGTTTAAGCCACACAGACATACGTGTGCTCAAGTCATGTCCAACTCTTTGTGACCTCATGGACTGCAGCCCACCAGGCTCCTCTGTCCACAGGGTTTTCTAGGCAAAAATACTGGAGTGGGTTGCCATGCCCATCTCCAGAGGGATCTCCCCAACCCAGAGATCGAACCCATGTCTCTTGCATCTCCGGCATTGACAGCGCCACCTGGGAAGCGCTATGGAAGTCTGCTGTGGTCTAATGTATCTAAATGTATCCTCCACAACTCCTACATTGAGATCCTAACTTCCAAAGATGATAGAATTAGTGCCTTTTCAGAGAGACCCCTGAGAGTTCCCTAGCCCCTTCTACTACATAAGGATACAGCAAGAAGTCTGTGACCCAAAAGAGAGCCCTCACCCAAACATGCTGCCACCCTGATCTCAGAGTGCCAGCCCCTGAGACTCTGAGAAAAGTTTTCTGTTGTTCATAAACCACCCAGTCTGTGGTATTTTGTTAAGTAGCCCTAAGACACAGCCCCAGTGGATTAAGACACTCTGTCTCCCTTCGATGCTTTTGAGCTTCACTTGAGTCTAAGTCTTCCTGATAATGCTCATTTGGAAAGAGATTTCTGCTCTTTGCCCTCCACTACCCCCAAACACATAATAAAAATTGAAAAATAAGGTAAACGATCCAAGTATTTGAGCAACATAGACCATGTGTAATATGTAAAACATCTACAAAGGGTCCTGCATTTTTAAAGAAATCTAGACATGTGTCCAGAGAAGGAAATGGCAACCCACTCCAGTGTTCTTGCCTGGAGAATCCCAAGGACGGGGGAGCCTGGTGGGCTGCAGTCCATGGGGTCGCTAAGAGCCAGACACGACTGAGCGACTTCACTTTCACTTTTCACTTTCACGCACTGGAGAAAGAAATGGCAACCCACTCCAGTGTTCTTGCCTGGAGAATCCCAGGGACGGGGGAGCCTGCTGGGCTGCTGTCTATGAGGTCGCACAGAGTCGGACACGACTGAAGCGACTTAGCAGCAGCAGCAGACATGTGTCATATCATCTGAATGTGATGGTTCATGGAATGGTTTCTATTTTTTTTTCTTGGCTCTGTGGTACAACTTCAAGATTAGATTACTGACTTGACATACTAAAGATGTCTTTAGGTCAAAAATTAGAACAACAACCAGTGTCTCTAACTATGCAAGATAATAACAGCTCAGAGGGAAGTCTACCATCAAGTCCATCATGCTACAAGTGGGGCTTTGTACTGCCAACTGCGATCTGAACAATCTCTTCCAAGCAAGAGGCAGTTTATAGAGTCAATTCTCTAGGTCTGTGATTTGGACCTTTGATGAGACAACCAAATTATAAAACCTAATCATCCAGGATCACCATCTTCTCTCCAATGTGGGTCCCACAGCACAACTAAAATGGCCCCAGTGGAGAAAAGGGTTGCCCAGGCTCACCTTCCCTGTAATCTCTCGGAGTGGCCACAAGGAGGCAGACTGGTGCCACAGGAAGGTCACAGGCTTTCACAAGAAGCTATGCCATGTGATTCCTCACTCCCTCTCAACTTGGGAACTTCAGCAAATCATTTTCTGAACCGCCTTTTCCTTATCTAGAAAGTGGAGGGGGGGAGTCTCATAGGATAATATGAAGTTCAGGAGTAATGTATGTGAAACATCTAACACAGTAAAGATGAGCATTCTTTTTCCCTCTTAAGCTTTATTCACCATTCTCTCACACACCATAGGAGCCCTACCTGTCCACCTCTTTTTCAACCCTTTTATTTGAGACAAGTTATTGTACCACTCTGAAGGTCAGTGTTTACATCTGTAAAAATCAGGATGCCCTGCCTGTAGAGTGGTCGTGAGAATTCAAGTTACTGGACAGAAAGCACCATCACAGATGTCATGTAGCAAGAGTTCAAGATGAAGGTGGTGGTCATCAAAAGTATTATTATCGTGTGGAAAAACAGCCAATAAAAACAAGTAGCTGGTGTCCATTACATTTCTTTCAACAGAAATAAAACTTGACCAAAGTAATACATGCTGTACAAGCCACTCTGGCTCATGCCCTCTTTTTAACTAACCTGAAAATGGGGGCTAGACACACACTTGGCGATTTGTTTAAACAACGGTTCTTGGATTTTAACAAATTGCGAAGGTTCAATCACATCCAGTATTTCTTCCAGCTCCCCAAGGAACATGACCTAGAAGTAACAAACAAAACACCAAGTGTCAGGTGCTTGATTAAAAAATCCCTACGGACAATGAGGAAAATGAGAGTTTTGCACGGTTTTAATATAATGAATATTTATGCATAAAATTGAACATGAACAAATCAGAATTTAACTTATGTTAGATGTTTATTTCATAAGAAACTCACCGGAGAGTACGTGTTAAGAACAAATTTCCTACAGCATTGAAGATGTGATTCTATTTACTTTGGAAAAAATACTCTATGTGCTACATCTATTCTATAGAGCAGCAGGGTACTTCCACACTGCAGCAGGGCCCTGAGAAACGGGACTGTCCCTGTAGGGCCTGCCTCCCCTCCTCCATATTTTTAAAACGGTGGGCGAGTGGCCCTCTTGCATGATGGACAAAGTCCACAGCGGCACATGCAGATATTTGCCAAACATTCACAGTCCGTGCCATGAGCTAGGTGCTCCTCTAGGAGACACCAGTTCACAGAACATACAAAGTCAGAGACACGCCGATGCGCAGATTCAGTCACAGACAGATGCCACTTTAACTCCTCGGCACACGCAGACCCATTCTCCACGCTTACACGTACATGTGTACACACTCGCTCACTACTGAGCACAAAGAATCTGGTTGCCTCAGTACCCTGTGCTTCCAAACCCAGAGCTTTTAGATCACACAATGGAGCCAAATCAATAGTACAGCCACTCGTTTTAAATATAATGGGAAACTGACAGAAAAATAAAAACCATTTTCCTATTTAGGTATGAAGAAATGACTGCCTAGAAAAAACTTAAGTATGCAATTAAAATATGAAAAATGATCTTTTCATATCTTAAGATGCATCTGGGTAGCAATGACTAGTTTAATTTTACCTAACAGGTATTAAGAAATTAGAAGAGTTTCTGAAAATGTGTAAAGTAGGGCTTTGGCGAATTGAAGCTGATTTGAGGAGGAGGGTGTTTCCATCAAAAGTGAAATATAGTCGAGCCTTGCCATTTGTTAAGAAACATTCTGAATTTCTTCTAAAACACTCTCCAAATATAAAACCAACTGCTGACCTTTGTTTCTGGACCCTTTTCCACATGGTTTCTAACCTTTAAGAAAAGGTGGTATAGATCTGGCGCTCAGCTAGGCTCACTTCGGAAAGAGACTTGCTTCCGCCACAACCTCACACTGCACATGCCCAGTGAGGTCTTGGCAAAATTACAAATGATTATAAATCAGAGATTTCCAGGGCCACTTGTGAACAGCTGAAACTAAAGGTCTGCAGTATATTTTAAGATTGTGCATAGTAAGATCTCACCCACATGATGCTTTAAAGTGGGTATCTGGGCAGGTTGCTACAGCATCTATCAACAGTGACAGCAAAGCCTCCATACTCTGGAGGTGGTCACTAGGAAGCGGACATCAGTGAGCAGACCAGGATAAAAGCCCAGGGTGCGGGAATCGGGGGGGCGGGCTCTGGCCTAACTACCTAAACTTAGTGTACCCAGGAAGGCTACTTAACCTCTAAATATCAATTTCATAACTAGTAAAATGAGAATATTTACAGCCTTGCCTTATTCTGAGGTTACCATGAGGATCAGCTAAGATAATGCATTTTTACAGACGCCTATTATCTCAGTGCTCTAGTAAGTTATTAACACACTGACACTGAACACTTACCTCTTTTTGACTACATGTTTTGGGCCAAAATTTCATTAATCCCCTAATAACCTAAAATGAAAAGGAGAAAAACAAATTAATTTTTCTTACATACTCCATGAAAAGTGGTTTTTCTGAAGTTTTTTAAAATTATGGAAAAAATACTTACTGGTTCTGTGAGTGAAGGATCTTTCTCCAGAAACTGTACTATGCAATATGCCAGCTGGAAAAAACAAGCAAACACAAGACAAAATTAGAAATTCTACTTTACAATATTGTAGTGGTTTCTGCCATACATTGACATGAATCAGCCATGGATTTACATGTATTCCCCATCCCGATCCCCCCTCCCACCTCCCTCTCCACCCGATCCCTCTGGGTCTTCCCAAAGTAATTAGCCCCCAACTAATAAAAATAAATGGAAAAAAAAAAAAGAAATTCTATATACTCAAGGCTCAAAGATGTATTATTAAAAAGCCCTAAAAAGCTTCCAGAGTCTGGTTTTAATAACTTCACATTCATTTAAAAAATAAAATACATATAAAGAAAAATAAGAAGCTACTTTTTCAACTCAAAGATTGACACTAATAAGGCTCCAGGGAAATTTTTTTAAAAAGAATGTGGGGACATGAAGTAGTCAGTTAATGAAAAGCAGAGGTGAAATACCACATCCAGTATATTCTTTTTTTTTCAGTATATTCTTAAAGTATCTCGTCTACATAGAGTTTGACCTACATCTCATGGGTTTCTTTTCTCTTTGCTGGAACTTTAATGATATGGGGTTTTACTGGGGTTCCAGAGAGTCCTTTCTGAGAAGAAGGCACTTAACCGAAAACATTGCTGACCACCTGAAATGGCACATGCAAGCTGAAACAGTTTCATGGAAAGATTTAAAAGGTTGTACCTGCCATGGATAGAACCCTGAACAAACAAGAAGAGTTCTACATCTGATGCTAACTCACCAAGGTAAGAATTTTTTTTTAAATGATCATGAAGTGTGATATCCTAATTCAAAAACTCAAGGCAAGATCAGCAAAGGGGCTCGGAAAGATTCTTGGACAAGAAATTCACTCTTGTGAAACATTTTGATGGTGTTCTAAATTAGAAGCATATGGGCTAATTTTTCCTCGAAACACACTATTTCACATTTAAACAGGAACACTACTCTGAAAGATGTGTTACATTTTTATGAAGACTCAAAATATTCCCATTACAGGGAGGGGGCATGTCAGAGGTTTGTGATGCTAAAATTAAAATGCCATGATATCATATATCTACCTCCTAGTGACATGCTTACCATGTAAGGCAGTGTTAGCAGGGAAATTAGAATGGGGGGACTACACAGGGTATGCTTTTTAAAGTAATGGAGGCTAAAGTGCAAATATTGACTGATTTGTTTTCTTGTGAGAGTGTTATCTGTATAGAGAAGGTGAGAAAGAAACGGTGAATGAACTAGAAGAGGGGGTAAAAAGAATAAGGACAGACTAACGCAAGATGAGGATGGGCTAAAAGATTTGAGAACATTTCAAAATGACTACATTCATCCAAAGGTCTAAATCTGAAAAGCCCATATACATGTTTATCACATGCAACCTGCTGAATATATGATTGTGAACTTGGGCAACTATCTAAGTTCTCTCTGTAAGATGAGATGATTAAGCAACTGCTGTTCCCACTTAAGAAATAATTCCCATGATTCTCCTATACACAGGCAAATAGATACACATTTTATCTGCTTTGGGGAATATTTTTAACTTTCACAAGCCTTTTGTTTAAATTAAGTAAATAACAAGAACAACAAAACACTGGGTTTACAAAATTTATTTTGCTTCCAAAAGTAGTTCTACAAAATTCTACCTGGGCATGGAAGAGTGATAGGCTCCTGACGGTGTGCAAAGGGATCAACACTTTCACCAGGAACTGTTTGTGTTCTGCCTTAAGAGGTAAAGCAAAGCCATTGATAATACTAGGAAAAAGAAAAGAGACATGAATTAGTGATATTACCACAACAAGCTAAATTGAGATGCTGTTCTTGTGAGATCAGGCTATATCTTAATCAGGTTATGTTTGATCCAGAACAAACCAAAACCCACCCCAGTGGCATTCAAGTCCTCTCAGTTGCTTTAAAGAATATCTTTAAGTAGAAAGAGAATTTAAAAGAAGGAAATTTGCTTCTGATCTCCCAGCAAAGGCTCTTGAGCTTTTACACTTAGATGCATAGTTCCCAAAAGCTTTTATAACAACTCTTTATTTTTCCTTCCCTCTTATCCTTCCCCAAATAATCACCAGCCTGGTTCACTGATGACCCTTTCCATTTCCAGAGAGTGTTCCTTCCCATCCCTGAAATCTGCTCATGCCAATACCCCAAGGTATAAAGCCCACCCGTGGGAAGTCCTAAAGGGAACCAAGTGATTCCACCTTCTCTCCTCATATCAGGATGATAGACTAAGTAATCACATTGTCCAGCTACATTAGACTCCCTTGTGTGTGGAAACCCAACAACAGCTGTCTTTCCCCAGTTCATTTCACTACTCCAGGCGTCAGCTATTCAAGAACTACACCTGGTACATGGACCCTTTGAACATGGCAATCTTTCTAATTTTTTAAAAAATAATGTATTTATTTATTTTTGGCTATGCTGGGTCTTCCTTGCTGTGTGCGGCATTTCTCTAGTTGCAGTTAGCAGGGGCTACTCTTGGTTGCAGTGCATAGGCTTCTCTTGTTGCGGAACACAGGCTCTGGGTGTGCGGCCTTCAGTACTTGGAGCACGCGGGCTCAGTAGTTGCAGCTTGTGGGCACTACAGCATGGGCTCAGGAGTTGTGGGGCACAGGCTTTAGCTTCCCGCACCATGTGAAATCTTCCCAGACCAGATCAAAGCCACGTCCCCTGCACTGGCAGGCAGATTCTCAGCTACTGTGCCACCAGGGACATCCCTCTAATTTATTATAAACCTGTTTTTGAAAATGATGGCAGAGAAACGAAACTGACAAGATGATGATGTTTGAGTAACTGGTCTGACGGTGATTAGATGAATAACGAATAAACTGTTGGCTCTTTCTGTCATTCCAAAATAATTCAGTTTAGTCGCTCAGTCGTGTACAACTCTGAGACCCCATGAATTGCAGCACTCCAGGCCTCCCTGTCCATCACCAACTTCCAGAGTTTACTCAAACTCATGTCCACCAGGTCAGTGATGCCATCCAACCATCTCATCCTCTGTCGTCCCCTTCTCCTCCTGCCCCCAACCCCTCCCAGCATCAGGGTCTTTTCCAATGAGTCAACCCTTCCCATGAGGTGGCCGAAGTATTGGAGTTTCAGCTTCAGCATCAGTCCTTCCAATGAACACCCAGGACTGATCTCCCTTAGGATGGACAGGTTGGATCTCCTTGCAGTCCAAGGGACTCTCAAGAGTCTTCACCAACACCACAGTTCAAAAGCATCAATTCTTCAGTGCTCAGCTTTCTTCACAGTCCAACTCTCACATCCATACATGACTACTGGAAAAACCATAGCCTTGACGAGACGGATCTTTGTTGGGAAAGTAATGTCTCTGCTTTTTAATAGGCTGTCTAGGTTGGTCATAACTTTCCTTCCAAAGAGTAAGCGTCTTTTAATTTCATGGCTGCAATCACCATCTGCAGTGATTCTGGAGCCCAGAAAAATAAAGTCTGACACTTTCCACTGTTTCTCCATCTATTTCCCATGAAGTGATGGGACCAGATGCCATGATCTTCTGTTTCAAAAAATAATGATGTTCTGAATGCTGAGCTTTAAGCCAACTTTTTCACTCTCCTCTTTCACTTTCATCAAGAGGCTCTTTAGTTCCTTTTCACTCTCTGCCATAAGGGTGGTGTCATCTGCATATCTGAGGTTATTGATATTTCTCCCGGCAATCTTGATTCCAGTTTGTGCTCCTTCCAGCCCAGCGTTTCTCATGATGTACTCTGCACATAAGTTAAATAAGCAGGATGACAATATACAGCCTTGAAGTACTCCTTTTCCTATTTGGAACCAGTCTGTTGTTCCATGTCCAGTTCTAACTGTTGCTTCCTGACCTGCATATAGGTTTCTCAAGAGGCAGGTCAGGTAGTCTGGTATTCCCATCTCTTTAAGAATGTTCCACAGTTGATTGTGATCCACACAGTCAAAGGCTTTGGCATAGTCAAGAAAGCAGAAATAGATGTTTTTCTGGAACTCTCTTGCCAAAATAATTAGCAATGTATAATTATGAAAGAAGGGGAACAAAAAACTATGTTTTGTAGAGTCAGTTGGGAAACATGCTATGAGCACAAATGAGACCTGATGTACATATAGCTGGGATCCGGGGCAGCGTCTTCCCATGCCACCTGACCCTAACCATATTCACCTGAGAGTGGCAATAGTGCTTACCTTCCTAATATTTCCAGCAGTTCAGCTACACCATTGAAGTGTTCTGTTTCATAAACAAACCTAAAAAGAGAGAGGAAAGAAAGGGGAGGGAAGGGGAGAAGAGGAGAGGAAAGAGAAAGAAAAAGAGAAAAAGTCAGTACGCTATGTTCAAATATTTGAGGTTTACTTAATACTTCTATAAAACCATCAACTTTGCTTCTCTTCCCTCCACTTACCTTAGAAAAATATTGTTAATCTGTTTTCGGATAAATGCTCTAAGACCAAGAAACTTGCCATAAATTCTGTGTAAGACTGTTTTTAAGTAATCCCGTTCCCGAGGGTCTTCGCTGTCAAACAGCTCCAAAAGCTGTTGTAAATAAAAAAATAGTGTAGTTGTCAAAAGCGGTTTCAGCAAAGGATTTAGAAATTCTGCCACATGTTATTTAAAATCTCTTCCTTCCTTCTTCAAAACATTATTAAAAATCTATTATGTGACAAGCATAGCGCTAGCCTTTGGGAATGCAGGGATAAGTAAGTCAGACAAGGGGCTCATACTCTATAGAGAAGAGATGCACAAAAAGAACAATAATCAGAACAGTAATTATAATATTAGGTAACACACATATAGCACTTAGTATGATCAGCAGGCAATTTTCTAAACAACCTACTTAATACTCCTTATAAGGTAGTCTTATTCCCATTTTACAGAAGAGGAAATTGGGGCACAAAGATGAGAAGTGGTAGAACTAGAATTTGAACCCAAGCAGTCGGGACCCTAGAGTCCATTATTTCAATCACCACACTTTTGTGGCATAAGCCATCTTCTGAGCTTATGTTTCAAAGATACAGCGAGGCTTTCAGCTCTCCCAGAGCATACAAGTAAACTGAGATAACCTACTAAACCAAAGCAAACATCAAAAAGTTCCCAGGAACACTGGCAACATTCTCTTCTGAGATCCTGGATCTTATTACATGGGTATATTCACTTTATAAATACCCACTGATGTGAATAGTTATAATTTCCATATGTATGTTATACATGAATGACATTTTTCAAGCTTCCAATCATTTATAATCTAAAGGCAATAACTGAATCCTGATAAGATCAGATCTTATCAGAATTTAAAACATATGCCAACACAAAAACCCGCACATGAATGTCCACTGCAGCATGATTCATGACAGCCAAAAAGTAAAATAACCCAAATACCCATCAACTGCTGCAAAGTGTGCTACAGTGGAATATTATGCAGGCATGAAAAGGAATGACATACTGAAATATGTTACCACATGGATATGCCTCTCAAACATCATGCCAAGCAAAAAAAAGCCAGACACAAAAAGGCAACATAGTGTATGATTTCATTGAAATACCCAGAACGGGCAAGTCCGTAGAGACAGAAAGCAGAATGAGGAGCGGCCACTAACAAGCATGGCGTTTGCTTTTGAAATGATAGAAAGTGTTCTGCAATTACATGACAGGGATGATTAAACTCTATAGAAAATATTAAACATTAAATTATAAGCTTTAAAAGGCTGAAGTTTACAGTATATGAATTATATCTCAGTAAGGCTACTTTTTTTTTTAATGATAATAGGAAGGTTCCTCTACCTTAAGAACAAACTTGGAGACTGGTTTGAATTTTACTGAATTCTTCATACCTTCATTATCATTGCAATAAAACAGAACTCATAGTGCTAAAGTTAACTTTATAGCAAAACATTTCATGAGCATATAGACACCATACAAATGAATGCGACTACCCTGATTACCAAAAAAAAGCTGTCAAGACACAGTTAAACGTGACTTCAGGTGATTAAAGACTGAGCTAATTCATTTCAATGTATGACAAAAACCACTGCAATGATGTAAAGTAATTAGCCTCCAACTAATAAAAATAAATGGAAAAATTTAAAAATAAAAAAAATAAATAAACTAGTTAAAATGAAAAAATAAATAAATAAATAAAGACTGAGCCTGGGACTGACAGTAGAAGAACTTGGTGGGCAGGATTCAAATAAATTATCTACTTTTGTTTGAACAACAGGCCAAAAGAAAGCACAAACTGAAGAACAGTCTTCAAAATTGGGCAGTGAGACAGACAAAATTTTTGACTGTACAATGTCATCCATCCATCCATTCAAACCTTGAATATTTCAAATGAGCATGTCACCCACCACTGGGCACAGTCTCAGGGACAAAATGATGAGCAATACAGACACTGCTTTTACAGACCTAGTGTAATGAGGAGTACACGGAACTGAACACCATGGCAAGTGACTCGGGACACTAGATAAATACACAGCAGCAACATCCACTCTATTTGGGAGAAGTGGAGTGATCAAGACTTCTACACAAAGTGACAGCCATGAAGAAACTAGGAGCCAGAGGTGAAGAAAGTGTTCATGGCAGATTCAATAGTACATACCTTCGCCTGCAGCCTATCCAAATATAAGATGTGGTTAAAATACCTGCCATCTCTGCCTACTTAGTCATACAATCAACCAGCCAGTCAATCAATCAATCTCTGCATATACCAGGGACCATGACCATCTCCTTTGCTGGGTGCATGCACGTGCACGTGCATGCGCACACACTCATATACACACACACATGAACAAACATGGAGCCCACAGGAAAGCAATGAGAAAGTCAACTACACATTTCCACAGGAAACAGTGAAAGAAAGATGTGAACCCTATGGGCAAAAAAGGCCCCATGGGTTTGTTATTTCTTACCGCTACCTGCAGAAAATGACAGATTTCTAACTGACCCATTCCATTCCATGTTAATAGAAATAATTAACCTTTGAGTTCTATTTTTTTAATTTGGTTTCTATTTTTAAGTGTTGTAAAAAGGCTTAATGAGTAATCTGTAACTAACACAGGGGAAGGTTTGAGGGGGTGTAATGCTAGCAAAACTTGAATCAACCATGCTTATGTATTGTTCATTGTTAATCTTAAGAGTCTGATGAACACATAATAATTAAACAAAAATTATTTAACTAATGTGTTTTCATTAGGCCCTCAAAGAAAATGTATTACCAGGCACCTAACCTGAGCCAGTCTTAAAGGCACAAATTATATATATATATATACTATGTTCTTTGAGAAAGATGAATTGTAGTATACAAACTACTTTTCTGTGGCACTACAAAACACACTCAATTATTTCATGATATATGAGGCAAAAGAAAAGATAGAATTGTGTGTAGGCCCAAAAAGAAGGGAGTGGGATGAGTTTTAATTTCCAAAACCAAGTAATATTTGTGTGCATAGTCATATATAAACTCCAAATACTCCCCACAAAAAAAAAGCAATGTAAAATATAATCCAGTATCTGTAAATGCCTAGGTAGACTGTGCTCTCTACAATGTAACAGGCAACTTGTTGTCAAAGAAATGACGCTGGAGAGTTTCCAAGGTGATTACAGAGCAAAGACACACCTGTCAACATGCTGTCTCCTACTTTACAAAACCAGCCATCCTGGAGTTGACAGACAGAGATAACTGCCCAGTGACTTAGCCCAACAACCTCCTTTGAACCTCATCATAAATCTACAGTGAAATGTAAAGGACAAATTGAAAAAGGTAGTCAGGGTCTGTCAGTTAGACTAGAGGGGTTGAACCTCTCTCTTCTTAAATGAGAGTAAAGGAATAAAAATGCAAGAAATCCATGGGGCAGAAAGGACTGGGGAGCAGATCAGACAAATCTGCACATCTCTCAAAGATGGAAAGGGGATGGCAAGGGGTCACTATCTTAGGTTTCCTCTTTCTCCACTCTGCTAAGTGTTTTTCCATTCTGCCAGCAGGGAGGCAAGCCAACAAGAGGCAAGCCAGTTCACACCAGAGAACCCTTAAAAGGCATAAGAACTGAAGGCACCAGATGTATTTGATGGCAAGGTTGTGAGGAGCTAGAAACAGGAGAGCTGATTGAAAGTTTGCAGGAAGAGTAACAAGATCTCCCAGATCCTCCGTCCTATGCAGTTGACTGAAGATTTACACTCAAGGCCTGGAGAGAATAAACGAGCGAGTCTCTAGTCTTGAGGACATCAGATATAGGCTGAAGTAAAACTTTATTGAAAACAATGGGATTTAATAAAATTCTGCATGCTGAAGAGCATTATTTTTGCCAGGCTGTTCCCTGACTAAGTTCTCAGTTCTGACTGAGGCAGGAGGTTAGAAAGTTCCTTATGGGGGAAATGGACAGTCTCAAGAGGAAACAGCTACAGATATACTAATATCTGAAGGTTTCCCAATTAAATGGCAAGGCCTGTGCCCAAGGTGCCAAGTGTTTCCCACTTGTGCCTGTGTGTACACATGCACGCATGCACACACACATGTACACACATGCACACAATACACACACAGATACAGATTTTAAGAGGTCTTTTTTTAAAAACTAACATGTTAACTATGAATATAGGGCTTCCCTGGTGGCTCAGTCATAAAGAACCTGCCTGCCAACACAAGAGACGCAGGTTTGATCTCTGGGTTGGGGAAAATCCCCTACAGAAGGAAACGGCAAACCAAGTCCAGTATTCCTTCCTGGGATATCCCATGGACAGAGGAGCCTGGTAGGCCACAGTCCACAAGGTCACAAAAGAGCTGGACACGACCTACCAGCTAAACAACAACTAGGAATATAGTCTAAGATCACCAAAGACTCTAACATAAAAGATACACAACATCCCTCAAAAAAAAATCATAAAGAATTCAGAGGAAACAGTGCAAGAGTGGAAAAAACTGGAAAAAAAAGAATCTATAACATCCTCAAAATAAATAAATCTACTAGATCTTTGAAACAAAAACAGAATGCTATTACAGATGAATATTCAGGAAATAAAATAGCACACTTAAAATTTAAGATGCAACAGAAATAAAAATTTCACAAGGTCTGGTGCATTAAAGTGAGCAAATCTAGCTTGAAAGTATAACCAAATGATAAAGTATACAGAAGAAAGAAGATAAGAAAACTAGCAGATCAAAATGTCAATCAAGTTATGTGGGCAGAATAAAGACATTTTCAAAGAAGTGAAGTGAAGTCGCTCAGTCGTGTCTGACTCTTTGCAATCCTATGGACTGTAGTTTACCAGGCTCCTCCATCCATGGGGTTTTCCAGGCAAGAATACTGGAGTGGGTTGCCATTTCCTTCTCCAGGAGATCTTCCTGACCCAGGGACTGAACCCAGATCTCCCACATTGTAGGAGGACACTTTACTGTCTAAGCCACCAGGGCAGAGAAGCGGGTATCAAAAAATGTACATCCCATCCATGTTCTCCTCGGAAGCATCTAGAGGATGCAGCCCACCAAAATGAAAAGAAATGAAGTAAGTAAAGACACAGTCAGAAAAGCGGCAGAGGGAAGT